AGAAAATCTTATAAATTCACATTCTTATAAGTTCACATTTACAAGCGACTCAGAGCAGGTAAGATACTGATTAGACTCCAGGAAGGTGCCTCGGAGTATTACACACACCACACACGCTCACTCACACTGTCACGTGAACCACTCTTCCACCGAGCTTTCCTGGCCTCCTCCTCCTCACGGTCAGAAAAATCATTAAAAAATCGCTGTCGTCTTTGAGCAGACATTCTGCCACCAATTCCCCCTAAGTCATTATCCAGAGTACCACTTGCCTCCGAATCAGTCTCCTCAAATGTCAGTCTGCCTTTATGAACCTGCAACACCGGATAATTCCCAGCAGGTGGCGCTATAGGCAATGTCACGTCAGTCCCAGCAGGTGGCGCTGTCGGCAATGTCACGTCAGTCCCAGCAGGTGGCGCTGTCAGCAATGTCATGTCAGCCACATAAGGTGGTGTTTAAAACTTTTCTGACTCACCCAAGTTTTGTACACTCTGACACAACAAGGCTAATTGTTTATACATGTCTTGGATATTGCTATGCTTTTCTAATTTCTTTTGAAGCTTCTGACGTCTAAGAAAAGATTTGCAGGTCAGGAAATCCTCATTAAGCTCCTGAATCTGTGTGTTCTGATCTTTAACTTTGTCCCAAGCTAGTTGTATAAGCGTGTGTGACGATCCTGCCTCAGCCTGGACCAGCTGATGCAAAAGGCTGTCCAATTGTCTACATTTACCTGTATTTGTTGCGTGTATAACATTAATAACAGCTTTAACTCTTTTTGATTGTTCATGTAGAGTTTCCACAGGAGTTACAGATTTGTTAGTTATGTGCTCCATATCTGCTGACATCATTCACTCAAACTTTCATTCAATTGTATTTATTCTCATTCAGCACAGGCATCTGTTGAAAAAATCAACACAAGCCTTTAACTTCAGCAAGCAAAGACCCTTCCGGTCAGGATATGGTAACACCAGTCAGGCCGAGACCTCTGACGCGACAAGCAACACACACTTTCACCTAGAAAGACAGTGCAAAAAAAGGAAAAAAAAAGAAATGGCTTCACCTTCCCCCACCACCGTTTAAAAGAGAGAGAAAACAACCCCCGTCAGCCACACACTTGGTATGTTTACATGGACAAAAGTAACCGGATCAGATGGCCGGTCGGAACAAAAGTGTGTCATGTAAACGCTCCGTTCGGGTTATTTTTTGTGTATTCGGCGCGATCCGTTATAATTTGTGATCAGATCGAAACGGGTGGTTTACGCCGATCCGTGGCCCGATCGGTGCGCATGTAAACGCTTGATCTGTTCGTTTTTATCTGATGGTGAAAAAATGACCTGACTGCGCATGTGCGGCGCGTACCTCTACGCGTTTCCTTTTCCGCCTGGCTAATGTGTAGATGCTAACATGGCGGGGAAGCAGAACTGGTCGGTGAGCGATACAACATTTCTAATCGAAACGTTAAAAGAACTCAAAATTATCGAACGCCTTGACGGTCGAAAGTGTAGGAACACGGAGTTATTTAAACAAGTGCATGAAAAACTGGAAGAAGCCGGAATCCATCGAACAATTGAGCAAATAAAAAACGCTGGAAGAGCTTGAAAGCTAAGTACTACCAAGCTAAAAACAAGAACAGGAGAAGTGGCTCTGACCCCACCACTTTTTCATTTTACGTGTTGATGGACGAACTGATGAGAGATCGGCCACTGGCCAACACGATAGGCAGCGGTGTGGACCAAGGTTATGAGGAGGAATCTGAGGACTACAGCCCCGATGCAAATCCGGAACAAAGCATCCTTTCCGGTAAGATACTCTTCAAGCCACATTAACCCTCTGTACTGTATTACTTGGTGTAACTGGGATACAACAAATATGTTAAAATGTAATTATAATAAGAAGCAAGAGTAGCTTTAGGGCTAGCATAATTATACCTCCAAGGATTGTACACAGTAGAGAACATGAGACCTATATTGTGGATTATAACACTACCCCAACTAACCAGATAATTAACCTAACAAATTTCAACATACCAGGGGACCAGTTAGACTTTATTTTTTTCTTTTTCAGATGATGAGTCCAGCTTTGATGAAGCAGCTGACAGCAGCACACAACAAACAACAGTCCAAGAAACTTTCAACAGACGAGGACATCAAGGAAGAGTAAGTTGTGTGTTCCAGATGACAAAAACAGTAACAAATGTTTATACAGTGTTTAGAGAGATTATGTTAGTACTGCATCCAAGCAAGTAATAGTGTTTTACATCATTGCAGGACCACGAGGGAACTCTGGTTATGCAGACTTGGGCCACCGAACAGCAATCCTTCTACCAGAAGATGCAAGAGTCCCAGAACAAATGGATAGAAGAACAACAGGAACGATGGCAGCAAAGAGAAGAAAGGTTGTTTGTAAGGTTCTTAGAAGAAAACACACTCTCAACTGAGCGCCTAGTGAGGCAATGTTTTGATGGATTAAAGTCCATCATGACTCAAATGACCCCACCTCCACAGGGAAGATCTCCAGTTCCTCCCTACCCTCAGCATCAATACCCAGGTCAAAGCCGGTCTGCTCAATTTCCTCAGAACCCAAGCTACAACTCGGATTACCACCTCCATGACCTAAACTAAAGTTAAAAAAAAGTTTGTTATTTGAGCAGCAGCTAAAGTTTCATATTATATATATATATAGATATTTTTGATATTGTAATTCTGAAAGTACAGGATGAGTTGATAAAGAAGTTACTGTTGAATTGCACGTTACTGTAGTTTTAAATGACCAAAGAATGTTTTTTTCTGTTTTCATTACAAGATGTGATGATCTGTGCACATTGTCTGTTTTGCACAAACTTTTTGAATGTATAATTTTTATGTTTTTGTGATGTAGGCTACCTCAAATTGCACTGAGAATGAAACACATTTCACACAGTGCCAACAAGCAATATAAAATGTTTACAAGAATTTATTAAAATGTTTGGTCCATTAAAGAGCTCCGATGTACACTAGTATTATTTGCCGTTTTGTTATAATATCTTTATACAAATGTTAGCTGCATCTGAACACATACATGACAAGTATATATTGTATATTTAAAAAGCCCCTTTAATGCAGATGGCCTGTACGGAGTGGAAACTTGGACATATATGCAGTCAGTGCCTCTCTTGCACCGTTTCCACCAACACTACACTGAAGATTCGCTGGCTGGTTAGGCTGAGGGTAGTTGTTTGCACGGTCACGTGCCTCTTCCAACCAGTTGCTGTTGCCATAATCCCTCTCCCTCTGGCAGAAGTTGTGGAGTGCACAACAGGTGGCGATCATTTTTGGAGCAAAGGTGAAATGAAAGTCACTTCTTTTTAGAAGAACTCTCCACCGTGACTTCAGCAACCCGAAGGTCATCTCTACGCCCACCCTGACTGAGCTAAGGTAAACATTAAATGACTCTTGTTGAGGAGTCAGACGAGGAGAGTTTGGGTATCCTTTGATGAGCCAGTCCAACAGCGGGTATGCAGGGTCACCAACAACGAGGAGACTGACGTCCTTTCCTTCAATGTTCCTCACAGACCGCAAAAAAAGGACATACTAATATTTAGTATTTTACTTAGACATTGTTTAAAGGCATGGTTCAAACAAACTTTTTTTTTTAAATAAAACTTTACAGCTATGTATCTCTACTTTGAGAACCTTAGCTGTAATAATTGTAGTAATACTAAATACAATATAGCAAATATTGGCAACATTTAACCATTTGTTTAAAGGCATGCTTCTAACAAACATTTAAAAAAATAATTTTACAGCTAAGTATCTCTACTTTATAGTTTATAGTTGTAGAAATAATAAATACAATATAGTAAATATTAGCCTTACTTTTGGCATTAGATGAGCCCTTTGATAGAGGTCAGAGTGGCGCAGGACATTGGCATCATGGGCACTGCCTGGCATCTTGCAACTGATGCTCCAGAAACTGAGAAAAACAGAGGAAAAACAGTAATTAATAATAAATACAGACAGTATCAAGCATAGACAGGTAGAAAAAGAAAGAAAAACAAGTTTATTTAAGCATACAGTGTGTATTTGTCTTACCAGCAGTTGTTCACAACAGCTTGGAGGACATAGGATGGCCAGCCTTTACGGTTAACAAAGTCTTTATATCCATCAGAGGGGGGAAGAACTGGGATGTGTGATCCATCGATGAGACCCATAATATGAGGGATGTGATGGGAAGCCTCAAAAGCTCTGGCGATCTCCAGTGCCTCCATGTCAGTTGGTGCTCGGATCAGCTGTTTTATTGGCCCTCTCACCATGCTTTTACAAAACATGTACACACAATTTTTAACACTGCTCTTACTTATTCCAAATTGATTTGCAATGACTCGCTATTCGGCACAGCTGCCCAGTTTATACAGAACAACTGCAACTCGCATCATGAGCGGAATTGGAGTTCTAACAGTCACCTCTTCTGGGGCTAAATGACTCTCCATCAAAGTGCACAACTTTGTGAAAGACAGATGTGTCATGCGAAAATTCTGCTTCCACTCCTGGTCGGTGAACTGCGTGAGGACCACACGCTCCCACCAGTCTTTACTTCGAACTTTCATCCACTGGTTTCTGGTCGTTTGTGGAGGTAGTGGCAGCAGCATTAAACTTGCCGGCAGCAAAGAACTTTCTCGGATGTATTTTTCCTTCCGCGCTCTCATCCTACGAAGAAAAAAGACTAAAAGCATGCGTTGCTTCGCCTGTAGCTCAAGCAGGGAGTGAGTAACAACTCCATCACAGTCATTAAAACCTGTCGCGGGTCCATTTTTGTCGCTCAAGTGTGTTTACGTTCGTCCCGGAAAAAGAACTTCTTCTTCTATGGTTTACACGGAAGTAACTTCTTCTTCGGTGGTTTTTTAAGGAGAGTTTACCACTCTGCGCATGTCAGTACTTCTGTTCAGAATCAAAGCCCGTTGCATGTAAACGCACATCGTGAACGGATTGTGCCCATGTAAACGATACATTTGAATTATTCAAACAGAACACATTTCAATCCGGTCAAAGAATTCTGCGCATGTAAACATAGCTACTGATAAGAGAACCGCAGCTGTTCCACAGTGCAGAGCAACAGAAGAAAAAAAGAAAGTTCCTCTCACAGACACACCATCTCAGGTCGAGACCTGCAGAGCACGGCACACAATAAAATTAATCTTAAATCTACAAGCTACAGCGATCCCTGATCACTAGAAATTTGGTAAACTCACTATATCCTAGCACATTCCCCTTTAAAGCTAACTATTAATGGAGTACAGTTTATGATGCAGTCGACACATCAAAAGGAGTACCCGCGCCTTAGCCCCGCCCCCGTGCTTGACATGAGCGGACCTTAATCTCGTCAGATGTAAGGTTTTGATGGCCAGCTCCGCTGAGAACAAAGGGAAATGTGTCGGTCACCCACGTGACCTCCGGCAGGCCGTCTCGCCTTCCTCCGGCCACAAGTAAAACTTGTGAATCTACACACACCTAAACTAAGCTGTGCACAACACACACATTAAGACACGCACGCGCCGCGCGTTTCACAAACCCCCCAAATCTGAATACAAGCAACCCGTACATCAGAAGTTCCACGAATAACTTTAAATTGGCTTACCAAACATCTGATTCAGGAGATGGTACTAACACCCACAGAGGAAGATTATAATTTAGTTTACAGCCGAAAAATGAGGAGTTTTCGAGCCTTTCGGCCAACAGAGGTAACTTCCGCTTACCTTTTATCGTTGCTGGGCCCAGAAGTTCACAATGTGGGGGTTCAGCACCTTCTCGATCCAATTCGTGGTCCCGTCAGCTGCACGTTCGGGGTCACCAACTGTCATGGCTTATGAGAACCACAGTTGTGTTCAAAACAGCTGAAGCGGTACCTTAGTTCAAAAGATTTATTTGACAACGGATTACAAGTATTCAGAAATCATTAAACCATTACAATGTATGCATACAACGGGCATTTTACAGAACCGACCTTATTCATCGTAGTTCTCCAGCAAATGCACTGACCTGCCCTCTCACTCTGCACCTTATCACAGATTTTTAGCAGCTCTGCCTCTGATTGGTTTAAACAACCTGTTGTCATGGTTACAGGGCTCTTCTGCCTGTTAGATAAGTCTTGGAGGTCACATACCAAAGATAAGTTTATGGCTCTTTGTTTAGACACGCTAGTGTTTTTAGCTGAAGATTTTACCTCTGAACTGATCACAATTGTTAAACGATAAATGCTACTTTCTATTATCTTTACTATTTATGTTTAAGCCAACTATATTATCCATCCATCCATTTTCTTTACCCGTTTATTCCATTTTGGGTCACGGGGGTCGCTGGTGCCCATGTCCAGCAATCACTGTGCGAGGGGCGGGGTACACCCTGGACGGGTCGCAAGTCCATCACAGGGCCACATAGAGACAAACGAGACAAACAACCATTCACTCTCTCACTCACACCTAGGGACAATTTAGAGTTACCAATCAGCCTAACATGCATGTTTTTGGTCTGTGGGAGGAAACCGGAGCACCCGGAGAAAACCCACGCATGCACGGAGAGAACATGCAAACTCCACCCAGAAAGGCCCCCGGACTGGGGTTTGAACCAGGGACCTGCTCGCTGAGAGGCAGCAGCTCTACCAGTTGCGCCACCGTGCTGTCCCCAACTATATTAAGTTTAAGCAAACTATATTAAGTTTAAGGTAGAAAGATGTGTTCTAGATACTTTAATGTCCCTCAGTCTATGTGTGTGCGTGTCAGTCTATGTTTGAGTGTGCGAATGAGCGTGTGTGGTGTGTGTAATACTCCGAGGCACCTTCCTGGAGTCTAATCAGTATCTTACCTGCTCTGAGTCGCTTGTAAATGTGAACTTATAAGAATGTGAATTTATAAGATTTTCTCTAGTTAATGTAAGATTATATTTAAGCAAACTAACTGGATTTAAGATTATATTAAGGCAAAGTAACTGATTAATATTTAAATGATTGTAAGGTAGTAAAAACCCTTCAAAAAATGACACATACACATGTTATAACATGAAATTTCAAGCTTGATTAAAATAATAATAAAAGATAAAACATGAAATCCAACAACACCCATGTTTCTGCCTATAATATTGCTCCCCATATGTGAAGTAGGTTGACTGCAGGCACAGTTTCAAGAGTTGACACAGTTGTTCTATGGAAAGCGTGGTCCTGATGCTCAGAGTGGTGTCTGATTTTAATTTTAAACTGACCACCTCTACTGCATCATCAACAGGAATGCACGTAAAGAGTGATGTGACATCAAAATAGACCATTGTTTCATCAGTCTCCATGATGACATCCCTCACCTTATCCACAAAGTCCACGGTGTTCTGTATGTGGTGTTCTGAGCTGCCAACTAAAGGGATGAGTACAGACCCCAGATATTTGGAAACATTGTAAGTGACAGAGTTAATCATGCTAACGATTGGTCTTAAAGGTACACCTTGTTTGTGGATTTTAGGTAAACCACACAGACTAGATGTGGCCTCCCCTGGGTACAGTCTGTGGTACAGAAAACGGTCAATAGCCTTGTCCTGCTCCAAAATTTTCAGGCAATCTATCAATTTCTTCTTGTAACCACTTCCTGGATCTCTTTTCAGAGGTTCATAAGTGTTTAAGTCACTAAGGAGT